CTCAGCAATGTGCTCTAGCACAGCATGCCTCTAATAAATGTTTGATGAACAAAGAGGTAATCTGTGAAGTCTTTTCTCATAGCCACTATGCTGATTTTAAAAATAAAAAAAATAAGGCCCAAAAAGGTTAGTCTATGATCACTCACTATTAGTGACAGAGTCCCATACCAAATTTTGGTCTTTTCTTTTTCCTAATTCAAGGCTCCTTTCTGTTTTGGATTTTCTCAGTGCTTTTGCTGACATTCTCTCTCACACGGACTTCACACTAGCTAAATTACCACTCTACTGGCTTACAACTGTGAGACCACCTCCTTAAAAGTTGTCCTAATTTTCATATATCAGACAGGTACATGTATGTATCAGTACAGTATGCCTAGTTCCTTATGTTGATCACATCCATATGTTGACCAAGTTGTTATACTCTCTTGGATTTTATGTTCAGCAGTACCTCTGTTAAGTTACTGACCCAAGGAACCTTAACAAACTAGTCAACATAAGAAACTAAGCCTACTGTACTGATTGATACAGCCATGTGATGCATGTCCAGTCTACGAAAACTAGATCAACTTATAGAGGTAGTCAATGCAGGGAGATGGTTAACTATGGAAGTTCTACTGTATATGGCTACATCCTATTCTCATAATCATTATGAGAGCATTCATAATCATAATTATGCCAAAAGAAAGCATTAACATTCTTCAACTAATTAAAACCTAGTTCCCATAAATCTTGGATCTTTAATCCCAGCTCCTCACAAGATTAACAATCCCAAAATGAACACTCATTATTTTTAAAATCAGCCCTCTCAGAAATCCATGTACTCCCTTGACTAACTCTTGTTAAGTTATTTTTCTGATCATTTCTCTAGTTCTTCTACTGTGTCTATCTTTTTTTTTTTTTTTTTTGTGGAGAGAGTCTCATTCTGTTGTCCCAGGCTACAGAGAACCCTAGCTAGCATCAGCCTACCTCACAGCAACCTCCATCTCCTAGGTTGCAGCAACACTCCAGCCTCAGTCTCCCAAGGAGCTGAAAATACAGGTCCCTACAATACTCAGCTATTTTTTTTTCTATTTTTAGTAGAAACCAAGTTTTGTTCTTGCTCAGGTTGGTCTTGAACCCCTGAGCTCAAGTGATCCTCCTCCCTTGGCCTCCCAGAGTGCTAGAATTATAGGGGTGAGCCACCACATACAACAACACTGTGTATCTCTTGAATTTTCCTACTTGCAATAACTCAAGCGTAACAGAAGCTATAGAGTTTTGATTCTAAGTTTAAAAGAAAAAAAAAACTCAGGCGGCACCTGTGGCTCAAAGGAGTGGGTCACCGGCCCCATATGCCAGAGGTGGTGGGTTCAAACCCAGCCCTGGCCAAAAACTGCAAAAAAAAAAAAAAAAAAACTCTAGATTTCTTACATGTGGGAATTCAACATCCTACATCTACATTAACTAAATGCAATGTGCCTTAAAACATTTTAAAAAAATAATTCACAAGATTTAAAATAACAAAAAATTATACAATGTTCCATCAGACAAAGCTTAGGAGACCACTAAATTCTAATAGCTTAATTTACAGATAAGAAAGACCAAGCTTAAATGAATTGCCAAAGGGTCAGTTAGTTTTCATTAATTCACACTGACAGAAAATGATAAAGCCAGGCACTGTGCTGGGGACCAGGATTACAAATACATCTTTGTTGAATTCAGTAATCTAAATGAGATTTCTCTGCACTGAAATATACACTCAAGAGAAAATGTCTTAGTAACTGCTAGACATCCTCTTACTTTTCCTATAAAGAAAGCTCTTTTCCCAGAGGAAGATAGTTCAGTGTATGGATTAAGAATACTGGCTCTGAGAGCCAGACTGCCTCTTTATTTTGCTTCTTTTTGACTGTGTAACTCTAGGGCAATTTACTTAACAGTTCTTTGTCTGTTTCCTGATCTTTAAGGGAATAATCAGAGTATATATACATGATTAGCCCACATAATTACTATATGTTAGAAATTACTATTTTTATTTTCCTTAGGGAATTCATCAAAACATGGAAAAGTAACCAAGAAACTGCCTTAAAGGGAGCTATTAAAATACAATTATAATAGTAAAAAGTGATCAAATATAAAGGATAAAGAAGAAAAAGTAGTTCTTAAAAGGATGATTTTTAAAATACAAGCAACAAGAAATCTCACTTTTAATGTTAAAAACAGACTTTACTAAAACCTATGCTCAAAAATCTTTCTGATGGTTAAACACTAATGTCATAGTCTTTCTGGATTTGCTACGAGTTAGACCTATGCAGATTAAATGACTGCTTAAACAAAAGAGCCATGCCACAGCTACATCCCAGAGTGTAATAAATATCTGGACTTTCCTTTAAAATAATTTCCAGTACTTTTGTTCAAAGATAACCTTTGAGCAAGAAGAGTTTTGTACCCTGGCACTTTCTCCCATGTAGGAACTTCTATCAAGTTGCAAAGCCATAACAGAGTCACAGAACACAAGAACCTTACAGCTGTATGACCTTGGGAAACTCAGTTTAACAGGTCTCTAAAATTCATTACCTCATCTATAAATTTGTACTAACATCCACATTCCAGATCAAGGAAGGGAGGTAAAAGTAGATTTCTATGAAAATGCTTTGAGAATAACCCTGACACATTCACACATCCCTAGTTCTGACCCCTTTCTCCCCATTAGGCAGTCGGAAGAAAGGTCCCCTAACAAGCTAAGGTTAAACTACAATTTGCATGTATGCAGTGGTGGTGAGGGTTAAGGGGCTGTATACAGTCCTATATCATCATTCCTGTTCTGGGTTGTTTCTGGAAATGTAAAGCCTTATCATAGTCTCAGATTTGTTTTCTAAATATGGGACTCCAGAGACTACTTTCATTCATGAAAGACAGAGCTAGGCATCCTCCTGCCTGGCACCCTCAAACTCATAACAAAGAAAACCACAATCCCTACTTGTATATTTCTTCCACCACCAACAAAGACTAAATGCAGCCATAATATGTGATGGCAAAATATCTTTAGAGGTATGTTAGAAATTTAGCCCTATTTATATAATCAGTATAAAAATCAGTTATTAGTTTCTTCCAAAGCTGAAAAAGACTTTGATGAAAAGCCCAGTAGTACTGAAAGAAAAGTATTAAATTTCAAGCTCATATAACCTGATACTAGATGAAGCTTTATGAACTATTAAGCTCATAAAAAAGGAAATTTATGCCACTGAAGACCACTCAAAAACAAAAAAAGGAAATTTAATCTATTTAAGTATGAAGGAGTGGAGGAGTCTGAGACCTCTAAGAACACTCAGTTTCTTTCATGCACTGACCCAGTGTCAAAAGGAAGGTTAAAAAAAAAAAGCACAATCTCAGTGCAGATTAGGTACAAGAAATGAAGAAAACTATCACGTTTGTTTCATCACAAACAGAGCCAGCTATTTAATATCTAACGTACAGGAATAACTGGAGGGAACTTATAAAATGAAAACAAAATTCAGGAATCTTATCTTTATAATGCCAGGATTTGAAGTCTAATTTAGAGTAATTAAAATAGAATAAATTTCAATGATCTTAAATCCATTTTAGCTTAATAATTACTAGTGATTTGTTTAAATAATTACAATCACTTTCTGAATTCTTTTTGCTTTTAGATCCTAACTCATCTCTACCCTATCAATATCACTTATGTGAACACTAATTCAATTTTTACAGAATTCTGATCACAATATTTTCTAATTAAGATAAATCCCTCACAAAAAGTCACTGTGCTGTTATCACTTTACAAACATTATCTCATTCAATCTTCCCCAAAACTCTAATTGGCAAACATTATTATTTCTATAACATCCATTTTAAAGATGACAAAACTGAAGTTTACAGATGTGAAGCAGCTTGCTTAAGATCATAGGGCTTTCATGTGTTAGGTATGTGATTCTAGGGCTTATACACAGTAGGTACTTCCAATCACATTACAAAACAAAAATAAAATCCAATTTTTCAACTAGTTCCATGTAAATCTAAAGAACGTCAAGAATCATATAGTCTAGCTTGGTATCAGTTCATTTAAAAAATTAGCATTTTTCTACTTTAACATGCATATTTGTTTCCTTTCCTGTTCTTAAATATACATAATAAAAAGTTTTGCAAAACCAATACCAAAGTTTTAAAATTTAATCATCGCCTTAGAAGCCAAAGTTCAGTATCTCGCATGTAAAGAATATGGGAGAAGTCTTTTCTGCAAATGATTCAGAAGCTAAGCCTGCAAAAAATCTGAGGACGAATTGTTCGCCCTCAAACCTCTCTACTTCCAACCAACCATAGTCACTAAAGAAACAAAATACACAACTCCAGAGAAGCAAGAAATACATCAGGAGAACTGAAACATCAGACCACTTCTCCATATCATATGCATTTGGCTGAAGGGAACTAAACTAGAAAGGTGTTGTCCCATCGCCCTTTACAAATTGCAAAATTTAAATGACAGCTAAAAAGGCAGCTGCAACATGAGCACACTGGACTCAAAAACGCTGAATCCAGAACATATATCACCAGGTCTCAGTTGTAGCTTCCCTGTCAATTATACAAAGAGTCAGCTATTAAATATTAATGGTATGCCATTTGCACTGGAGGTCTTGCAAAGAACCTCCTGCTACGAATTTTTATTACGAAAAAAAAAATGTTCTTATTTTCCAGGTAAACACCAGCCCAGTAGAATCCCTCAGATGAGCATTCTCTCCTTTCCAGTGGAGGCTGACAGGGCCACCTCCACATCCCCGGAGGAGGAGGAGGAACCTAAGGGAGGACCAGTGCCCGCAGGTCCTGGGGCAGGGGGCCGGGGGCTGAGGTTCCGGTTCTCTCTCAGCGGTCAGCAGCAGGTTGGGGGACAGGGCGGGGCTGGGCCCGGCTATCCGCACAAAGAGAGCGAGCCAGCGAGCTGGCAGGAGGACCTGGACCCCAGCCGGGGTGGGGACCGGGCGGGGCGGGGCGAGGCGGGGGACACTTACCCAGCAGCAGCACGTTCTTCCCTGCCGGGAGCTTGGAGCGCGAGCGGGTGGAGACCTCGCTGAGGATGCAGGACCTAACCGGGAGCAAGGCGCACGCTGAGGCCGGGGGCCAGGGGCCGGAGCCTCAGCGCGGGAGGGAAGGACCCGGCCTCGGCGCGCCTTGGCAGGGGCTGCCGAAAACGCAGTGGCCGGGCCCCGCGCCGAGCTCCGGCGGGCACGGGATCCCGAGGCGTCCGCAAGGCCGGGAGAGGCAGCGGGGGCTCAGGGAGGGGTGGGGTCGTTACCAAAGGTTCTGCCCGTCCTCGTCGTCGCCCGCTGCGGCGCTGCCGTTGCCCGACGCGAGCTCGTTGCCCAAGGAGCCGCCCGTGTAAGTTGAGGCTAATCCTGGAGGAGAGGAACCGAAGGAGCCGACTCGCCCCACGGCCGCCATCTTGGTCGGGAATCACACCACTCCCGACAAGGCTGAATGAGCGAGGCGGCGAAGACCGCGGTGGCGAAGGCGGCGGGAACCCGGATATGGGGCGTTCGGCGCACGGGAGCAGGGCGGGGCCTGCGGGGGCGGGGCCCGGGCCCGGGCCCTGCCGGGACTTGACGGAGCTAGCGAGGCTGGACTGCGCTTGCGCCGCGGGCAGCCGGTGCAGAACTGTTGCGCGTGCGCAGGCGGCAAGTCTAGCTTCTCTGCTGTAACCCCAGATCCTCTGATCTCTTGGTGTTGAAGCTCTATAGCCAGCGCACAGCGCACCCCGCGGCTCAGGGCTGTCCTGGGCAGTGGGTAGGAGGGAGGGTGGAGCTTGGGTGTGTCAGGCGAACATTACCCACTTCCACCCTTCAGTCAGGTCCTGAACCCCGCAGCCCGCGCGGAATTCCTGCATTGTCATTGCGGGCCCACCCACTATTCAGACTGAGCATCGGTCCCCCGCCTACACCAGCGTTTCACTGGCGCCAAGATAGAAATGGGCTGCCCAGCTGGTAAAGAAGTTGTTCTGCAATCCCAGACTGGAATATTACTGTTGTCCTGTATTTCTGGGCTTCTTGGCTTTCTCGAGTGGGAATGTGTTCTTCCTTGAACTGGATCTACATCCGGAGCAATTTCTCCCAGCCTCGAAGCAGCTGCGTGACAAAAAAAAAGTATTGACAGGGCTTGCTTTAATGGTCCTGATGTTTTGTATGAGATGCTCTGTGTAAGATTTAAAAGACCCACTAGGGGGAATCATCTAACCAGTCACTAGGAGTTTTTTTTTTTTTTTTTTTTGTTCTTGAGACGTCTTGCTTTGTTGCCCAGGCTACAGTGCCATGGCCTCAGCCTAGTTCACAGCAACCTCATATTCCTGGACTCAAGCGATTCTCCTCCCCAGTAGCTGGAACTACAGGTGCTGGCCACCAGACCCAGTTAATTTTCATAATTTTTGTAGACATGGGGTCTCACTTTGCTCAGGTTGGTCTCCAACCCCTGACCTCAAGTGATCCCGACACCTAGGCCTCCCAGAGTAGCATGACCCACTGTGCCCAGCCTTATCAGTCGCCAGGCAATTTTAGTCCATATTTACTATAGCCTATGCAGTTGGCACTGGGAATACACAGAAAGGAAATAACCTAAGCTGGCCCCAAAAATAATTCCCTTCCTATTAGAAATTTACTTGTTGGCTCGGCGCCTGTGGCTCAAGCGGCTAAGGCGCCAGCCACATACACCTAAGGTGGCGGGTTCGAATCCCCAGCCCGGGTCCGCCAAACAACAATGATGGCTGCAACTAAAAAATGGCTGGGCGTTGTGGCGGGCGCCTGTGGTCCCAGCTACATGGGAGGCTGAGGCAGGAGACTCGCTTGAGCCCAGGAGTTGGAGGTTGCTCTGAGCTGTAAGCAATGGCCCTCTCCCCAGGGGGATAGCTTGAGGCTCCGTCTCAAAAAAAAAAAAAAAAAAAAAGAAAGAAAGAAATTTACTTGTTGAATGTATTTGAATGTCTGAGCCCCACCTCCGCATCGATTGTACACCCTGTAAGAGCAGTAGCTTAAACTTGGCCTTTGTGCATTATCTCTATCGTTTCACATTTGAAGGTCACTTGCTGATCAATGCTGTTATACCAGTGAGAAAGTCCGCAATCAAAGACTATTTGCTATATATTAAACTTAAGTTAGAAAGCTGGAAAACTTTGGAGACTGGCAAATCTGAGTCCAGGCCTAGCTCTACCAGTTTACTTTGTGTGTAACCTTAGTCCAGCGGTTCTCAACCTTCCTAATGCCATGGCCCTTTAATACAGTTCCTGTGGGTCATGACCCACAGGTTGAGAACCACTGCCTTAGGCAATTTACTTGGTTTTGCTAAATCTCAGCTTCTGTATCTGTAAGAAGGGAATAAAAAGACCTAGAGTTATTGAAGATTAAATGTAATCATTCATGTAAAATGACTTAGAACAGCAACTAGCAAATCTTAAGTGCTTCCTATATCAATTATTGTTAATGTCAGACTTTCTTTTTTTTTCTTTGCGATAGGGTCTTGTTCCACACCTGGCTAATTTTTTAAATGTTTTATAGAGATGGGTTCTTTCTATGTTGTCCAGGTTGGTCTTGAACTCCTAGTCTCAAGCAATCTTCCTGCCTCACAATCCCAAAGTTTCGAGATTCTAGGCATGAGCCACTGCACCTATCCTGATTTCCTTTTATCTTTAAGACCATTAATATCTGACCAAACCTGGAATTAATGGGCCTAATGAATTCCTGCAGCTAAAATTCTCCACTTTTTTGTTTTTGTTTTTGTGGGTTTTTGAGACAGGATCCTGCTCTGTTGCCCTGGCTAAAATAAAATGACATCATCATAGTTCACTGTAACCTTAAACTCCCGGGCTCAAGTAATCCTCCTGCCTCTGCCTCCCAAGTTGCTGGAACTATAGGCACATACCACCAAGGCCTAGCTAATTTCTCTTATTTTTTGTAGAGGTAAGGTATCACCATGTTGCTCAGGCTGGTCTTACAGTTTTTTTTTTTTTTTGGAGACAGAGTCTCACTCAGTGGCCCTGGGGTTGAGTGTCATGGTATCATAGCTCACAGCAACTTCAAACTCTTGTGTTCAAGTATTTCTCTTCCCTCAGTCTCCCGAGTATCTGCGACTATAGGTGCCCGACACAATGCCCAGCTGTTTTTAGAAATGGGGTCTTGCTCTTCCTCAGGCTGATCTCTAAACTCCTGAGCTAAAGCAATCTGCTCTCCTCGGCTGCCCAGAGTACTTACAGGTGTGAGCCATTGCTCCTGACCTTTAAAGTCTTAGACTGAAGTGATTCCCTCTACCCCCACCCCCTGTGCTAGAATTATAGGCATGAGCCACTACACCAGGTTCACTTTGTTGTTTACGTGGTTCGGGAAGGGACCAGAACCTTTCTTTGCTGTCCTAGGCTTTTTTGTGGTACTACCCAGGGGGGATCCTCCAGGAGAAACTAAGTCTTTAGGCCATTATTCTAAAAAAGTACTGTATACTCCTCTAGGCCTTTCTCAGAGTCAGTTCACTCTCTGTACTTTATTCTTTCAGATGTCCTTTTTTCCTCAGAGCACGTTTCCCTTTATATTGTTTATACTACGTACACACAGTTGTCATTTCCACATCACATTTATCTAGTCTGAGAAGTACACACTTTTCAACACTATGGCAGCAGTTTGAACATTTAAGAAGCATTCACTTTTATAATAACGACAGGCTTGTAACACCCATGACTTCCAGATGGTCAACTACTCACTTAAATTGAGGTCAAACTTGTATTACTTATGGTTTCATAATATCCTTATATAGCATTCTTCCATTAAAGTGGCTGACAGAAGTGGCCGTTTATGGATGTCTACTATGTAACCGGCACTCATACTTCGTAAGGGATCAGCAAAATTAAGTAACCTACTCCAGATCACACAAATCAGAGGTTTATAGATAAGCTGACATTTTGACTTCTCACTCTTGTCAAATGGCCTAGGTCAAATCATGTTAAAGTAAATGTCCTGGTAGCTTTAGGTGTGATTATGGTAAATACCTTCTTTGAAAATCTCTACAGTACAAAAATAGGAAACCTATGTATTGTAAGGAAGTCTATAGAAAGAAAGAGTTGAGAAGTCCCTTGGAATTTTTGTTTGCATAAATGCTGTTAACAATTGAGCTATTTTCTGTACTATGATTACCTTATTACCCAATTTTTTTTGTTACCTCTAAAATTAGCAAACATATTGTTCATTTGCTTAGACTTCTATGTCCTTAACTCTAGTTGAGTCTTAAATTCTTGTCCCAGTTATATAAAATTCCTTATTAGATATTCTAACAATTTCAGTTTCTTGAGGACACCTTTAAGAACCTTCTGGCCTGCTACAGTCTGAATTGGTTGTTCTATAATCCTAATGCACAGCTGTCACTCAGGGATCTCCTTTCACCATTGTTCAGGGGATTCCCTTCCTTACTTCCTATTTTAGTAGAGAACTTCCTCCAATAGTTGTTTGAGAAAATGTGCATGAGTAAATTTTTAGAGACCTGTGTGTCCAGTCAGGGTCCAGCCAGGGAAAAAACTGCATCTTCAAGAGAGCTCTAGATGAAAGTTTGATGAAGGGACTATTTACAAAAATGTGAAGTGTTTAGTGAAGGGACTGGTAATAAAAGGAACCCTTAGGCCTGAAGGGGAATTAGGAAGGAGCAGTTTACTAGGATCCAAAGAGATCTATGGCTGTAGGAAAGGATTGCTCAATACAATCTATAGCCTCCAGTAAAGGAACACAGCACTGACCTCTTTCTAACTTCTAGACAATGTCTCCTGCCATTGTCACACTTTGACCAAACCCACCCAAAAGCCAGAGAACAAAAGGACCCAAATGAAGCAATCCATGCAAGTCTATCTCCCTGAGCACAAAGAGGGTAGGGAAGGATCTGGAGGGGCAAATAAAATATCCATATCTTATACATTTGAAAATACATTTAATCTACCCTCATTTAATAATGATTTTGGCATTTTGGCTGAGTATAGAATTCTTAGGTTGCAGATTATTTTCCCTTAAGTTTTTTTTTATGTGTGTGAGATAGAGTTTCACTCTCTAACCCCAGGCTAGAATGCCATCGCGTCATAGTAGCTCTTACCTCACCTCCCAAGTAGCTGGGACTACATAGTGCCTGCCACAACACCTGGCTAGTTTTTCTATTTTTGTTAGAGACAGAGGTCTGACTCTTGTTCAGGCTCGCCTTGAACTCCTGAGCTCAATCAATCCACCTGCCTTGGCCTCCCAGAATGCTGGGATTACAGGTGTATGCCACTACACCTGGCCTTCCTTTAAGTTTTTTAAGGCCTTGACCCTGTGTCTAGTAGATTCTAGTGCTGCAACTGAGAAATCCAAGGCCGTTTTGATTCCTAATCCTTTGTTATATGTTGTTTTTCCTCCTTGGAAACCTTTACAACTTCCACAGATTCTATTCATCTTCCAGTATCTGCACTTTCATACTTTTCCTTCATACCAAGTATCAGAAGAATAATTCATACTCTTATCTAAAGCAATCACTATGCACAAGATTCTTTTTTTACAATTCTATTCATGCTTCTTCTTATTATTTATTTGTTTTTATTTCAGAATATTATGGGC